AAGAGCTAAACCAAACCCTCAAAACAAGTTACAGAGCTTTCCAAATTAAATAAATTTTCTCATAGCATGCATTTCGATTAAGGGAAAGCCACGGGAGCTAAATCGAGCCCCATACATGTATGAAAAACGAAACAAGTTTTTTTTTAAATATTTCATGCTAAGCAATAGTGAATAAAAAGAAGTCTCGTAGTGCATCCCAGCATGTATTCTAGAGGAGCGTATGTTATTTCAGAGCCCATATTTATCACATTTTCAATTGCTTTATGTAAAGAAAAAAGAAAAGAGAGAAGCTAATAACATGCCACATTCTCATTATCCTAAGCAAATAACCATGTCCAGCCCCTAGAACATGTCTGTCACTCTATTTTCACATGCTCAAGTAATAAATATCTCAAGTATAGGCACAATGATAAACTAGCATGCTTAAACTAGCATGTTGTACCATCCAACAGAGCCATTTTCAGTGGCTCGGCTGAGAGAAAACCGAAAGGAAGCAAGGCCTAAAGAGGGGGGGGAGGAAGGTACATCCTTAAAGCAGAAAGAAAGTAACACGAGAACTTTAAAGGCACTCCCCAACTTCAATTCCTCTTCCAACAGCAAGAGGAAACCAATTCAAGCACCAGAAAATCAAAGAAGTGAGTGAGAAAGAAAAATGACAGGGTTTCCTTCCTTGGAAAAATTTTTGGCTCCTCTAAACGGTCCAAAACAGACAACAAGTAAACCAGAGAGAAGGAGAGGGAATGATTAGGGGATCACATACGGATCGAAGGATCGAGAGGAGCAGATGCCCCCATACGGGCGTGCGAGAGGCAGAGGATTAGATCCTCGCAGAGGATACGATCCACGACAAAGAAGATCGAACTCAGAACGCAGATGATAGGATACGAGGAATGGGTGTCAGTGAGATTTGTCTCGCGTGCGAGAGGCGAACGCGGGAACGAATCCCTCCAACGACACGAAGAAGGAGCAAGCGGGGCAACCGAACGAGCCAACCTAGGGCTGAGGCAGGCAATGAGGCGGGGAGGGAGATGGATTTAGGCTAAGAATTTTAATATAAGTTATTAATTATAATAATAATAATAATAAAATATTATTTATTATTATAATTAACATTTAAATATGTATTTTCCCAAAGGCACGTCGTCGCAATGAAACGAACGTTCCCCCTAGGCAAAGTCGATGTTCCGACGCATCGGCGCAGTCCGTTTCGTCATCCGGAGTCTTCCGGGCAACCTTGTCGTCGATCGGGTTAAAAACGCGTCGCGGTCCGAATCCTATCAAAATTTCAGCTCGAATTCGATTAAACAGAACGGCGAAGAGCGCGGCGGCGCCAAATCAACGAGTATAGTCAGTCCTAAGGCCGGCAGTTCTATAGGAATGCTCCCTGAGTTCCTTCAGAGTAGTCTTACCTGCCAAGTTCGGAGTAGCCTTACCTGCTAGGCAATAGCGGTCAAAACTACCACATGGAACGTCAAGTCGAGCAAAGAAAAGTCCAGAATTGCTAACAGGGATGAGTCGAGCGAAGAAAAGTCCAGAATTGCTAACGGGGATGGCTTTTACTAGTTTCTAGGAGTAGTCGACAGAAAGGTCCTACGGCTAGATCCTAGGCTACTAAGGAGGGGAAAACTACACCTCGATCGAAAGCGAGGTCAACAGTGTTATTCATTATGGTAGAGAAATTATTTTTATTTACAAACATGATAATATGGCAATCAATTTTTTATTAATAAAATATATTGAGAAAACACCTTCATAGGCATATAGCATCCCACAATACAACCTCTAGTCTACAAAACAAGCTTATTATGAAGAAAAGTGTCAAATTTCAACTAATTCCTTTTGGAACCCTACTATTAAAGACATTCCTATCATTGTTTAATCCTAATTTTAGATTTTTTTATCTTCTTTGATTCCGATTATAGCGACAATAGAATTTGGAGCCTTATAATTTTTTTGGATCCAATTCTTCTTCTCTTGTTGCATGTAAAAGAAGTCACACCAGACTGTAATGAGACTCCTGTATGTACTATGGTTTCTCCCCCTTTTCTCTAATTTTAACTATATTACATGGATGAATTTGCTTTTCTTAAAGTCATTCAACGTGCCATTGTCGTCATAATTAATTTTTAACGTCTAGATCTTCCTTACTATAGGACAAACCTGGTCGAACATGCTAAGAATAGAACGCAAGTTGAGGAATCATTTAAAAAGGACTTTGTTTGGTGGAGTTTTAGTTTTTGTGTGGTTCTAGCTCTGTTAACCCTTAAGAAAGCTGGAACGTAATGAATAGGTGCGCATAGTCAGGTGATAAATAAAATCACTATTAAGTATGATTTTTTTAATTCTCCGATTAAGCCATATTGGATTTAATTTTAACAATAAATTTATTTTCTAAATTTGATATAAAAATGGTTATTAGCAGATACGAATTAGATGAGGAGATAAGTGAAAAATAACCTTTAAACCCTCAAATGAATTTTATGAAGGGCATGTTATATGATTTAGATTTTCAGATGCTCCTAGCACATCTTTGAGGTCGATGAATATTGTCCTTCAACTTGTGGAAATTTTTGACGTTGTATTTAAATATAAATCAAATTTAGTTCTAGGGCAAACAGCCCTTGCGACAGCTTCAACAAGTTTTCAGAGCGCTTTGGCAAGAAACATAAATATAAATTTGGAAAGTATTTCTTTTTGCAAACTATGGTGGTTATTTATGATTTATTGTGTTCCCACTTAGATTCAAACTGAACCTACCAAAGGTAGAGCAATCATAAACTTGCTATCATCGAAGAGTTTTATATATGTCACAAACTTTCATATCTAGTCAACCTTTATAGTAGGTTCATCAAGGATTTTAGTATTGTTTTTGCCTCGACAGTTGATCTATTAAAGCTTGATAATTTTTGTTCTGACTCACGTAGAACAAAAGTATTAGAACAACTAAATGTTCTAATTTTTCTGCCATAATTCTTAGCTTCTCAACTTCTTAAATTCTTTGAGTAACCTGTGATGTTTCAGGCATTAGGATTGGGAGAATTTTGTGTTATAGGAAAGTATCCTCTTATATTCTTTAATGAAAAATTGAATGAAGTCAAACAATGATGTTCCACTTATGATATGGAGTTCTACATTCTAATTCAATTCTTGAGCATTGAATCAATGTCCCACTTATGACGTGGAGTGTTACATTATAATTCAGTGCATGAGACATTGACCATACTATCTTTTGCATAAGAGTTTATTCTCAACTCAAATTTATCAATATTTAATGAAAATTGAGTCAAAGACATGTGGAATGCCTTTTTTTTCTCTCTTTATAAGTGATTTTTTAATAGCATGACAGTTTTTCTAATATGAGATATTTAGTGACACTTTATTTGATATTATTGATGTATTTGGCGCTATGGTTTAGCAAAGTCCAATCAACTAGATACTATTAAGCAATGTTTTGAAATCACAAGTTGCAATGTGATGCCCTAGCTTTTGTTTTTCTACAATGCACAAAAAGCGAAGCGGAACCCTCATTAGATAAATTATTAAAACTTGTATATGGTATTTATATATGTTATGTGCATATAATATCCCTTTAATTAGCCAAATCAAAAACACATCAGTGATTATAGCTTGGTCTACGACTAGATTGAACCACACCAAGTATGAAATCACAAGTTGCAATGCGATGCCCTAGCTTTTGTTTTCTACAATGAACAAAATGCGAAGCAGAATGACCCTCATCAGATGAATTATTAAAACTTGTATATGGTGCTTATATATGTTATGTGCATATAATATCCCTTTAATTAACCAAATCAAAAATACATCTGTGATTATGGCTTCGTCTACGACTGGATTGAACGACACCAAGTAATGATATTTTATTATATTCTGTTATTTAAATTTATTTATGATTTTATTTCCTACATCTCTCTTCTTCGCTGATCCAATATTCTTCCTGTGATTCATCCATCTTATGTCTACCTACAGCAATCTGTTGGTAGTCCCCACAATTGCTCTCACAAATTGCTCTCACGTGAAGCCAATGTTGGATCCAGCTCACTTGGTCTAACACAATCCCTCTGCACATATAGCTCTGAGCCTATTGCAATCACAATTTATGCGTACATCATTTGCTCATATACACCTCAGCCCGTCGTTGCATTGCGCCTATGCGTTGGATCCAGCTCACTTGGTCTAACACAATCCCTCCGCGCATATAGCTCTGAGCCTATTGCAATCACAATTTACGCGTACATCATTTGCTCATATACACCTCAGCCCGTTGTTGCATTGCGCCTATGTCCCACCGGCGCTTACATTTGTAGCCCAATTACGTGTGGAATGCTCCACTTTATCGTGTAGAGCACTACTAAGCTCAAGTTTTGCACGACTAGCAACTACATTGGCCTAGAAATCATTGTGGCTCCTCTTCGTTTCAAATGCACACTTCAAAGAGCACTTTTAACAGTCTTGATTTGAAGCTATTTTCTGTCTCATCTGTATGCAGTCTTTACTATATGATACCATATGAAGCAATATTCATATTTAATCTGGATGGCCTTGTGATAGTATCAATGAATAAAACTAATAATTCTAGACTTAATTGTGCATACAACTATCCATGCATTGCAATGTCACCCTATTTTTAGTATGGGGCATTTACACACATAGCACACATATATTATGTATTTACATCTCACACCTAAACTCTTACATTTACATTTATAGCACTCAAATCTTTTATCCTACATAAAAAATAGCACTATTATCACTTTTTAAAAATGAAATACACATTTTCATGCATAGGCTTAAAGTACAGAAGTACTATGCATGTAAATATGGAAGTTTAGGTATGAGATATGTAAATACATAAGAATTTTGTGCTGTGTATTTAAATTTCTCTATTCGTTTTTGTTGGTTACAAATCAGTGTCTGCTTAACCCACTTTTGTAGCACTGAATTGAGTAAAAGACTAACTACTAAATATCCTGTCTTAACAGGCATTGGAAGGCCTTGGGGAAAGCCAAGTTGTGAGATCTCAGGAACTTGTTATGTCAAGGCCTGATTTTTCAAATGGCATTTATGCAAGTGAAAAACTTTTCTTTGGGACTGATGATGAAATTCTCCTTGACGATAACACTACCCATGAGTTTCCATCAGATGATCAAGGATGGATTTATCCTCCAGATTGCTCTTATACAAGTAGCAAAGATTTCAGCATTTCTTCAAATGATGGTAAAGAGAACTCCTGTGATCTGGAAGAATTATGCTCTGCTACTACTTCGGGTGAGAGCAACAATAGCAGGAAAGAGAGCGTCTCTGATGTAAAATCAGAGTCAGGAAGCATTAATATTGAGGTTAATTCTAGTTATTCTACTACGCCGGTGCCCAATAATGAAAGTATAAAATCTGTAGTGGGCAGTGCTTGTCTTGCTTCAAACATGGGCGAGGGAATGGCTGATGATATAAAGCCTCAAGGTATCAGTGACGATCAATACCTTTTATCTCCTTTCAAGGGAGATGAAGAAAATCATGAGGATTTTATATGCTCTAATTCTTTAGGTCGGGGCAAAAGAGGTAAGATATTAAAACCTTTAATTACTCGTTGCTGAACTTTTTCTATCTTATTTGCATTTGCATCAATTGATTTTGGCATTAAGAATTTCAGAAATATGTTTTTATGACACATAAAATCACATTTGTTTTGTGTTGCATTAAGACTTGATAGTTTTTGCGTAAATAATTAGATATGTGATTTACAATAAAACCATGAGATTATTTTAATTAAAAAAATGCAACAATAAAATAAAGTTTTAAGTTTAGATATGGTCTTGGAGGGAGGCATGTCGTATAACTCTTTCTTTAGGATGAACTCCATCTATATTGTGTTTACTTGCTCTCTTGCTATCGCCACAATGTAACCCATCCGTCTCAAAATTTTGTATTTGCTTATGCACGCCAAAGATTAATACACTTCAAATTAGTATCTCCTCTCATTCCCCAATAAGAGAGAATATTTACAACTATTAAAATGAAAAAAAGGAGACTCAGCAAAAGACCAAAGCATGCTAACCTAAATATTAAGTTAATTGAAACTGTGCTTACATTCCTTATGTAAGAAATTTTTTTTTTCTTGTCCTATTTAACCTAACAAATTTGAGAAATTAGATATGAATTGAGCTTACATCAATTGGCATGCTTCCTTAAATCACAATTATGTTTCTTGCATATTCCTTGCTAGGAAAATCATAGGTTTTGATTATTAGTGTGGTCTATGAAAGTTTACACCTAGCTCTTCTGTGAAAGTGATGTTCTAGGTCAAATTATTAGAAAATATATTAGATTTCAGATAAAACACTATCCTGAACTCTTTCTTCATTTTACAAGAAATTTATGATATGGTTCTATTTTTGCTATAAATGCAAGCCCCTTTGATGAATTATCTCCCTTGGTCATGTGAGAGAACTTTCAACTAAGATTAGTTTGTAGGCACTAATTACTTAGCTTAGTGCAGTAATGATTTTGATTTTCAAAAAGAAAAAAATGGTCTCCTTTCTTTAAAGGAGATAATGATGAAGCTAATCAAGATTCTATAATTTCATCATCCTAGTTTGGAGGATTTTTTTTACTTTGTCAACGAGTATATAAGATCCAAGGTAATCAAATGATCTTTATCGACAGACAGCCATACGTAGTATTGTTCAATAGGATTTTGTTGACCTAAGATAAGATCCAAGGTAATCAAATGATCTTTATCGACAGCCATACGTAGTATTGTTCAATAGGACTTTGTTGACCTAAGGTGGAGATTTGCTTAAATGGAAGATTTTAAATTGGCCTTAGCTAATAGAAGATTTTATATCATATTAAGTGCACCCTATAATTCATTGTTTGGATTTCATTGTGATTGTGATTTAATAGTATCATTTTGCATTGAATCAACAAGACAAAAAGCCTTGGTTACAACCATTCTTTTGTGATGTCATTTGGCAGTAAAATTAGCTTATAAGTTAACATGTGTCATGTACTTATTGGTGTGAGATTTTTTAGAGTAATTGTAGAGATTTGATTGATATGATATTATTAGCTCTTTATGAGTTAAAGTTATCTTAAATATGTTGCTCTTAGCAAATTAATGTGAAGAATGGATGAGTAGTTATTTTAAGCTTGAAGCGATTGTTTGTTGCTTAAAATATTTAAGGTTTCATAATTTTTTTTTTATTCAGATGGTCATATTTTTAATTAAAGTTCAAGCTTAATATAATTCTCTTTGTATTTGAGGCCATCTTGAAAATAGGTTTTCTCCAATTTCATTCATGAATCTTAGCATGCCTATATGATATAATGACATGATATTTTTTTCTCTTCAAAGCATAAATCTTTGACGCATTCAGAAGATGCAATTGCACAAGTCTTAACATACTTGCACACATTTTGAGTCAATGTATCAGAGTTGGAAAATGCTTTGCTATGTGAATGCCAAATTTGAACTCATTCAAGTTTTGTGTATTGCATAATTGTTACATTGCTGAGGGGCATGCACAAAATTCGAAAGTGTTTAAACTGTTTATTTACATGAATGTAAATTACGCGTACAAATATTAATGCATTATATGTGAATTTGAATATTGTCTTGAAACTGATGCTCATCTTTATTCGTTCTGGTTATATTCAATTTTATTCTTTTTTAAACGATTTAAATAATAATTTTTTAGCAATAATTTTATCTTTTAGTTTATAATTTATATTTAATTTATTTTCATTTTTATTTTGTTTTAAAGTCTAAATAGTTCAATTTGAAAATACAATTTCAAATCATTTGCAACGGAAGAATTGAGCCTGCCCACCCACCTAAAAGACACGCATGGTTGGTGGTTGTAAATATCTTCTACCAACCTACCATAGAGTGCACATGGGCTTTCAAAATCCATTCAGAAGTCAAATATGAACATAAATTTCTCCATTGAGTTGGAATAGCCTGAATGGATACTTATTTAGCAATTTTCATTGGTACATTGAAACAACATGAGTGAGTACTTATTTAGTAGGTATCCCCGTCAAATTGGAACCATTTAAATGGTTGCTTTTTTAATAATTTTTTTTGTTGAGTTTGAACAACCCCAAATGAGTACTTAATAGTTCTTATAATTTATACATTTGTGAGTGAGGCGATGACAATGTTGAGACGAGAAATCAACGAGACTGAAATACAAATCCATATATTTCTTTTGTGATTTTTTTAAAAAAATTTTTAATGGATTTGTTTGAAAAAATATATAAAATAAATAAAGAAAGGGTGAAAAAAGTGGTTGGTCTGCCTAGGTTGGCCACGTTAGAATTGTGCAATTGGGTGGAATTGGGCTTCGAGTTATAAATAGAGGCAGAATGGGGAGAAGGAAGCCCTCCACTAGGATTTCTAGAGGATATTTGGCGGTTGATGCAATGCCTGATAATTTAGCATTAATCAAGTCTGGAACTGCGGTCAGACAGTATTAATTTTCTTTTAAATTATACAATAAACCATCATAACTTTCAATTATTAAAAAAACCACTAACAAGCACAAAGTATACCAAACAATTATCATATCCAACTAATGCAACAATATAAATTGAAAGTAAAAGAATATCACAATCTAACCAACTATGATCCATCATTTCTCATAATTAAACAATATAAAAAACTAAAAGCATAATAAATAACATTCTACCTAGTATATATAGTCCTTATCCTGTAAACCAAATCCTTCATGTCAAATATATTAATCTAGAGTTTCACTTGAAAGAAATATTTAATTCAACTATAAAATTTTCACTTAATGAGTAATTCCAATCTTATTATGCATTAAATTAATATACAAATACTATGCATGAATATAAAAAAAATATAATTCATTAATTAATCAAACTATAAACTTTCATTTTAAATTAAACATTTCCATTTAAATTAAGCGTTTAACTTCTTGACATTTGCCAATTTTTTAAGAAGTCGTATCAAGATCACCACCATACTTTAAGATATTCTCAAAAAATTATACCCGTAGGTACCCTAAAAAGTTTGCACCAAGAGGTGCATCTTTATTATTTTCATTTCTTTCTTTGTGCATGGGTATAATTGTGTCTCATAGCTAGCACCATAAGAGGATGTATCCTAATTGACTTAAGCCTTTAATTGTCATTTTATATCAATTTAATATCATTTAAATGTACTTTTGTATTTCAATTATTTCCTCCCATTTGTGAGGCATCTTTCAAACATTCAAAATATAATTCATAAAAAAAATATTTGCTTTTAAAATACATTGCAAGTTCATTTTTATCAATGTTATTATAATCTTTTATTCTTAAAATACATCTTTAAATAAATCATTAATTTAATATCAATAAGAAAACAATTACTCACCTTTTAGTCTCAAAAGAGCTCTTTATCAACTTAATCCTCTGATTACTTCTTTCAACTCCTCTTTGACTCTACTTCTCTTGTCTAACCACGTTTCAAAGTCCTTATTCATTGAATCAGTTTTTTAACCATTATTTAAATTAATTAAATTGTACTTGATAGCACCTATTTAATTAAAAAATATATTTTATATAAATAAAATATCGTAACTCTAACCTTATTAAACTTTGCTCAGATCTCCTCCTTTCTTTAGCTCATACACTTCACCTACTTTTTCTCTCTAAGAAAAAATTTCTGTACTGAGCTTGCATAAATTCTTGATTTTTGTGGCATAAAACTTAATATGAATGAAAGTTCTAGAGAAATTTTCATACATTCCACACAATTCTTATGTATTTACATATCTAACACCTACAGTGTGATATGTTCACTTTTAACATTTTTGTGTCATAAAGTAATGCATGAAAATGTGCATTTCACTTTTAACAAGGTAATGATGGTGGTATTTTGATGTGAAATGTTAAAGATTTGAGCTTCATGCATGTAAATGTATTATTATTTAAGTGTTAGATATGTAACTACATGAGAATTGTGTGACATGTATGTAAATGACCCATGGTTTAATTGTTCTAGCTTTGATATCACTAATGTTGATCATCTCTTTTGACAGGTAAAAATGCTTATGCTGTCTCAGTTTTGAGGCAAATTGAGCTGAAAATTGAGGGAAGAGATATCAATGATGGACGGTATGCAAGCGACTGTTCTTCTCTAAATCAAGTTGTGATTGAGCTTTGACTTTCTTTCGAATGAAGTTGACTGCTTAGATTTGTTTTGCAGGGTCATGCCAGTTTCCCAGCAGGTGGATCATCTCATCAGGGAGGCCACAAGCATAGACAATTTGTGTAATATGTATGAAGGGTGGACACCTTGGATATGATAAATCTTTTATTGTGATCTGAGGTAATATTTTCAGGTCAGATCCCATATTTTCATGAAAATTTGTGCCAGTCTCTGTTTGACAAGTTATGGCTTGATTCTTATAATAGTCATTTCTGTGGGCCGGAATTTTCTTATGGGAAATTTACATAAGTAGCACACAATCTCTATGTATTTACATACTCGTACCTAAATTTTCATATTTACATACATAGAACTTCAGTGCTTTAAATCTATACATGAAAATGTATGCTTTACTTTTAAAAAGTGATAATAGTGTCATTTTTTTACTGTGATATTAAAGATTTAAGTGATATGTCTGTTAATATAAAGTTTAGGTGTGAGATATGTAAATAAATAAAAATTGTGTGCTATGTATGTAAATGCCCATTTTTCTTATTTTTGATGTTTTGGTGTGAGTTTTATTATGAACAGTCCTTTTTTTTTTTAATGCATCCGTGTCATGGTTTTTCTTCATGGGAAGTTTACCTTTATACAACACAAATCCTATGTATTTACATATCCAACACCTAAAGTTTGATATTTACAATCATATTACTTTGATGTCATAAATTTATATTTTAAAGGTGTTTTTGACTTTTAAGAATTAGTAATAGTAGTTTTTTTTTTTTTTTTTTAAAGATAAAGGGTTAAATGTTTTACATATAAATAGGAAAATTT